GGAGCAAGCTGTGACTCCGACCATTTACTAGTACAGATACGGTTCAGATGTAAAATCAGTCGACAAGCAAAGGAAAAATATCCGAAACAAGAAAAACTAAACTTAGATAACCTAAAAGTCTCTGAGGTACAAGAAAGATTTGAGAGAACAGTGAGTGAAAAATTACTAGAAGAAAACATAGAAGAATTCACAATAGAAAATCATTGGAACACCATAAGCACTATCATACTAAACACGGCACAAGAAGTTCTTGAAACAAACACTCAACGGAGAGAAGAACAGTGGTTCGATGAAGAATGCAAACAAGCTATTCACGAAAGAAATGAAGCACATAAGAATTTCATACTCAGACGAACTAGAGAGAGAAGGACAGAATTTGAGAATAAAAGACGAAGAGCTGATAAACTATGCAGACAGAAAAAGAGACGGTACGAAAACAACCGGATACTAAACATAGAGAGGGCGTTCAAGGAAAACGAAACACGCAGTGCATACCAACTTATCAAACATTTAAGACAGGGTTACAAGCCGTAGACTAGCCTATGCAAAAATAAGAATGGGGAAATAATTAGCGATATGGACGAAATTAAGAGAACCTGGATGATGTATTTTAAGGAATTATTAAACGAAAGGGCACAAACACCACTACAACAGCGGCAGCAGCAGGTAGAACAGAAAGGTCAACAACAGGAGCTGTGGGAAGATGGAGAAGATAATGAATTGGCTAGACCTCCAACGCTAGAGGAGGTTCGAACAGCAATCCAAATGCAAAAAAGCCATAAAGCGCCGGGAATAGATAAGATACCGGCAGAACTGTTCAAGCAGGGAGGAACAAATTTGACAGAACAGATGTACCAGCTTATACAAGAAATATGGAGAGAAGAAAAAATCCCACAACAATGGAAGAAAAGTATAATCTGCCCTATTCATAAAAAAGGAGACAAACTGTTATGCCAGAATTATAGAGGCATCTCTTTACTTTGTTCGGGATACAAAATACTCACAAACATTCTTAATCGAAGACTTCAACCCCTCACTGAAAAAATTATCGGGGAATATCAAGCAGGGTTCAGGCGAAATAGATCTACTATTGACCAACTATTTACAGTTAAACAAATACTAGCCAAAGCATGGGAATATGACATAGACGTCTACAATCTCTTTGTAGATTTCAAGCAAGCCTATGATTCAATAGATAGAACAATACTACCTAATATATTACAAGAATTTGGCATACCATCAAAATTAATAAGACTAGTGCAAATGACAATGACAGAAACAGAAGCACATGTATGTATTCAAGGACAGATCACTGATGCGTTTATGACAACGCAAGGACTGAAACAAGGTGACGGACTAGCTCCAACACTTTTTAATCTTGTTCTTGAATATGTAATTAGACGGTTGACGGTGAGCAGAAATAACATACTTACAAACAAATCTACCCAATTAGCAGTATACGCAGATGACATAAACATAATGAGCAGAACAAAGACTGCGGCAGAAGAAACCTACGTTCAGTTGAAACAGAGTTCAGAAGTTGTAGGGCTAACAATAATTACAAATAAAACAAAACTACTCATACAAACCAGATCAAATAGACAGGCGCAACAACAACAATTTACAGACGATATAGAATACGTGAATAGATTCACGTATTTAGGAATGGATCTGGTCGAAAAAAATGAAGAAGAACCGGAAATAAATAGAAGGCTTATGCTGCCAAACAAAGCCTATTTCGCGATGGGCCACATATTCAAATCGCGAGACGTACACCGGAAAACAAAACTCCGGGTATATAAAACAATAATCCGACCCATAGTAAGTTATGGGTGTGAAACATGGGTTATAACACAGAAATATACCAATGCATTAGACATGTTCGAAAGAAAAATATTGCGTAGAATACTGGGTCCAATAAAGGAAAATAACAACTGGCGAATTAGATATAAGAACGAAATATACGAACAATACACTGAACCAACACTAGCACAATACACTAGACTGCAGAGATTACGATGGGCAGGGCATGTGGCCCGCATGCATGAGAACAGAATCCCCAGAAAATTACTAAACGCAAGAATGCAAGGAAAAAGACCTGTTGGAAGACCAAAAAAGAGATGGGAAGACGAGGTAGATGAGGATGCCAAAAATCTCCTAAAAACGCGTTCATGGAAAAGAACAGCAGTAAATAGAGATGTTTGGAGAGGTTTAATGAAGGAGGCCAAGGCCCGGCTTGGGCTGTAGTGCCAATGGATGGATGGTTTTAAGGTGTTCGTTAGTTCGTTACAAAATGCTTCACTTATCTCGTCCGGTTTGTCAGCAGTAGGAGCATATACCAGGATAATGTTAGATGTAATTGGGTAGGTATTAAGTTGAAGGAGGAGTATTCTTTCCGATATAGGTACAAAGTTTTTAACATGTCTGGCAGTTTCTTGATTTAAGATTATACCTACCCCATTTTCGTGTCTTCCATTAGGGTTACCTAAGTTTTTTAAAGAAATCTTCTATTTTCTTTTATGTTATCGTTTGACAACGATATTTTGCAGTATATATCTCCATCGTTCCTTTGCAGAACATCGTGAATTTGCCTCATTTTATCGTTAGACGAAACGTAAAGCAATCTGAAAAGGACAAAACTTTATACAATGATAACAAAAATTAAGAACCTAGTCGTCTCCCTAACATATTAAGATTACTGTATAAAATTCTTGTCCTTAAAGCATTGAAAATCTCGTCGGCGGTCTCATGCTGCCTGTTGTCTGTTGGGTCGTCATCTTCGTCGTCTGATACGCTCAGGTTGTCTGGATGAGGAACCATATCAATGATGTCCTGGTCGATGAATTCACTTTCTCAATCGTCGGCTGCTAACCACTCACGTATCTCTTCTTATTTAATTTCGTCACATCCCGGCAAATTTTTTATCAGAGATTTAATTTTTTCTGTCGTTTCTTTGCCATTTTCTTCTTCAGGATCGTCAATCAAAATACTATCAAAAAGTTAGTTCCAGCATTTTTCCAAAGTTGAAGATTTGATCTTGGCCCAGAACTCAGCACACCGATAAACAACATGTTTCATTGTTGAACATTTGAGGATTTCAGGAACACTTTTGGATTCATTTGTCTCCTGTAATAATAACGAATGCTCCTCTATAATGTCTCTCGAATGTCTCTATTAGTCCCTGGTCTAACAGCTGAATTAAGCTCGTGACATTCGGTGGCAAAAATCTGACAATTATCACTATTATATAGATTTTGAGTCAACAAGCCACAATGCTTTGATAGGAAGGTTTTCTTATTTTAAAAAGGATTTTACGCTTGGGACTAATTTATTTTCGAACCATTCTAAAAATACAGTGGTCGACATCCATTAGCTTTTTTGACTTCTATAAAAAAAGGAAGTGCTTTTTCTCAAATATCTTTTAGAGCTCTTGGTTTTTTGATTTCCCAACACACATATGCATCAATCGGTGAGTAAAATTGATGGAATTTACATTTTGCGATAAAAATTTACTTTTTATTGACGAAATTATTGAAACTGTCAGCGTTTCGGTCAAACGATGATTCGGTTAAAAACGTTTCGCTTAAGGGAGGTTTTACTGTATATCTTAACTGTAAAAGTGTTGATTGTAGTTTTTGTTTTTTCAGAAAAAAAATACAATGTTTTTAAAAGTTTTTGTAAAGTATTTTCATTCATTAATTTTTAATAAACGAAAATTTCTCCACCCAGGTGAGATTCGAAGTATAATAAAAATTCGGCTTGGGCTGATATTATTTTATTTTATTTTTATCATTCGAAACAAAAAAAGGTCATTTGTAATTTTTCTCTGAAGTCGATCGTTTTCGAGTTTTAAATAATTTAAAACTAAAAAGAAAAAAAGAAAAATTTCGATTTTCAAGGCTCACAACACAAGCAAAAATATTAATTTTGTAATCATCAAGTACAAACATGCGAAATTTCTTGTATCAAGTCCTGATAAGAATGTTTGCCATATTATGCATGTTTTCAATTTTTGCAAATATTTTTTAATTGTTAATGAGGAAGGTTCTTTGTGGGAAGACTGGGCTGGGCTACATTAATAATTAAAAAACAATGATTTAAAATGAAAGTCCAAAATACTTATCAAGACCTAATAAAATAATGTTGAGCTTGAACTTAGGTACTTCATAATTTCAAAAATGAAGTGAAACTTCTATTCTAAGCCTTGAAGATCATCATCTCTCGTTATTTTTTGTTTTAAATTGTTTATAACTTGAAAACAATCAGTTTAAGAACAAAAATTAAAAAAGCACTTTTTTGTTTTGAATGAATCTAGAATAATATCTGTCCGCAAAATTTTCTTTATAAAATAAGTTATTATTAAATTATTAATTAATTATAGTCACAACAAAATTAGATCGGGCACCCCTTGATTTTATAATTATTAACATTCTAAATTACATATCAAATAATTTTCATTGCAGTCGATCTTTATCGTATCTGTATACAAAATATAATATCGACAAATTAAATTCAAACGTTGGCGAAGTGCTAAATGCTTCACAGACATATTTCTTAGAAATCAGAGATAACGCTGGGGTGATGTCCAGTTTTCTGACTCACTACACTTCGTATTTCGTAAGTACTGCCATAAATTGGTTGTGGAAGGGGACGATAGGGGAGGTAACGGCAGCTCTTTCTACGATCATTCTCGTGTGAGCGCAAATTCGTAACTAGTTGTTTCCCGTAATATCCACTAGAGGCGCTGATTCTTGATGAAATTTTAATTTTTTGGGTTGCACGTTTCTCTCCATAAGCGTTGCGGATCTATTTGGATTATTCAATCAACGACAATATGTACAATTATTTAAACAATAACTGCCTAGAGGGAGATAACATAAATGTCTAAAGAAGGGCGGTGTTAAATTTCATGAGACAGGAACTAGAAAGGCGTGAATTCTTTTTAGTATCTCTATTTAAATCAAATTTAACATTTTAGATAAAAAAAATAGACTACTTACCTCTTTTCGACTGCGCAAGGCACAATCTTCTAAAGTTTCGGCAGCCTCATATTTACCCTGACGTCTATATAATGCGCCAAGATTTTTAAGAGTTGTTGTTACAGTGGGGGAGTCTACTTTCGCCGCTTTGTGCCATCCGCCGTATTCTCCATACGGTACGTTTTCCTTGTTTTTCGCCTTGTTTTCTTCACGCTCTTCAGCTACTTGCCAAATAGGTTTGTTTTCACCTAAAATTGGATATAAAATTTTCACATTACGAAACAGCGATGTTGTACACCAAACTTACAAAGAAACTTATTACAATATTTTAACACAATTAAAAAAATTTATCAGTAATTTTGAATTGATTGGTGTCAAGAATATTAGATATTTTTAATGACAACCTCGCCAAAAATCTTACTCATATCGTATCATATCAATCTTAATCAATATTGTATAAGCAAATTAGGTTGCAATATTGTTAACCTCAAATGGTTGATAAAAACGCAGTAACAGTAGAGTGGAGACTTTAAGCACCGGTATGTTGCAATTATAGTATTTTTCTTTGACGTTTTGTATGGTACTACAAGGCGATTTGGAATGTTGACCATTGTCTTTAATGTCTGTCAGAGTCCCATACAAAACGTCAAGAAAAATATTTTCAGACCACGGCCTAAAAATTCTAAAAACCGTACATTATTAATAAACATTGAGGTATCTTATATTTCTACATAACCAGTTATCAATTTTATATTCGTACATCCTTTCTTAACCTTATAAATTCATTAGATGTATGCTATACATTAACTAAATCCCAACTTTTTTATAAATATCCCAAGAAATTCTTTATTATTTGACGTTTCGACTTCCCGATCGAAAGCAGCTCCGAAATTTAATCACGAGAAACGGTGTCTTCCTAATTAAATCTACATTTCCAGCCTTTAGCAGAATGGTCAAGTCTTTTTGCTCCCACTGATCAGTTCTTGTCCGTCATTTGTATAAATATAGAGTGCTTGTATAATATTCCAATCGTTAGAGACGAAAATGACAGTAAACCTCTAAAAATCATGCGGACAAGCTGAATTTTTGCTGAGAATGTCCATTTTTGGATGAAAAAAAAATGCAAAAAAGTTTGACAGTGGCTTCTTTCTAAATCCTTCCCCCATAGAGGGGAAAAATGGAAAACATCGATTTATCAAGAATCTGTATGCCGTAGAAAAAATGTTTCAAATAAAAAATGTAGCTTAGATAATCTTGAATAAAAACGTTTAATATCACTTTTTATGTAGAACGGACAGTTCTCTCAGAAACAACTGAACATTCTACATAAAAAGTGCTAATAAAGATTTGTGTTCAAAATTATCTCCGCTAAATTTTTTTCTACAGCGTAGATTCTGAACACTCTTTATATCATATACCATATAATATATTGATCATCAGGTATGGGTCTGAACGAGGGCTCCTTCAAAAATAATTTGTAATCTATAAAACTTAAATTTTGTGAAACTCCTATTTTGGACACGTAGTAAGGGGAGACATATATAATATTCTTCAACTTATTATGATGGGTAAAATCGAAGGACGCAGAGGAATTGGTAGAAAGCAGGCCTCTTGGTTGAAGAATATCAGGGAGTGGACAGGAATAAAGAGAGCTGAGCAACTCTGTAGAATAGCTCGAGACAGAGACAGTTTCGCCATGTTAATCGCCAACGTCAAGGGGACTTGATAGGGCACGTTAAGGAGAAGAAAACTTAAATAACAAATCTTCGGGAAACTGAAATAAGGAAGCCTCTTTACATGGCATGATATCGGAAGTACTTATCAAGTGATCGGGACCTATGAAACTATGAACTAAATTCCTGTTTTTAGGAACCTTTTTTAACATTATTTTTAAAACTTTATACTAAACTATTTGAAAGTTGTTTTTACCGATAACTACACAATTGACAATTACAGCTCAAAAACGACTAGGTTACCGAATCCTATCATAAAGTATGAAAAGTCAGAACACTTATGCTAAAAATTATTAATATAAGTTTTAGTTTATAATGCCGCAATTCTTTAAGTACTGATGTTGAACTAAATATTTGCTTCGGTCTCGATGGAATACAGCAGCGGTAAAACGCATTGGCACTCTGGAGCCTGCATGACTTTTGTAACACATGAGCGCATTGCTTGAGGCACAGCGGTTCCCGATAAATAGGAAGTTCGTGCTACTAACAAAGGGGAAAAAGAAGTATCTATTCTGTCGTGCAGAGCTCAACTGTATGAGAGAATGCTAAAAGGAAGAATAGACACTGTCAGGGAAGAGTCAGGAGGTCCCTCATCCAGAAAGTAAGGTATAATAAAGAACAGAAGCACGATGGATGTAGCGATGTAGGTGTTTCGCAAGTTGCGTGGGATGGTGGCTGACCAGAAATGAGCTTTACTAAACGTTCGGAATGTTTTTAATATTTAAAAATAACAAGAAGTTTTGAGGACTGTACAAAAGGGAATGTGTCCGAGTTACTTGATGAATTTTATACTGGATTACCTGAAAGAGAGGGAGATCGTGATAGAAAGAGAGATGCTAATCGATATACAAAGAAGATACCGCATTATAACGGAGCAGGGAAAATCTTATCATTGTTGCGTACTGCATATGTGATCAAGTAGAAGAATATATAAGAAGCATAGGCTAGACCTGATTGCAGGTATGGTCGAGAGCATAGTCCTCAAGGGACCACGGAAAAGTAAAGGAATAAAATTATGTGAAGAAGTTAGCGTGATTCTAAATAAATAATACTTCAAACCAAACAGGGCGAAACTTGTAAGAAAGTGGAAAAAGCAGATAAGCTTCGGGGATTTTGCCCACTAGTATGGGGCTTAAAAAGCTCCTCCATTCTATTATACAATCAATTTGAGGCGCTAGTTTACAAAGAGAATCGTACAGAAGGCACTTCATCCAAGCAGATAGAAACAGTCTACCGTGTGAAGCACCGATGATGTGAGTTATCACCAGATGTGTTTGAACGCACGTGCTAGTGAAATAAAGAGACTAATATACGGGAATAAATATAAGAATATACACCGAAAGAAGGCTTAAAAAAGAGAGAGGTATTCACAATATAATTGGGATGAGATGGAGAGTATAACCCAGTGACCGAAGTCTCCGATTGTAATGAAGTGGAAAGTTATACCAGAGAGCCATTTGTTGCAGCAACCAACGTTAAGAAGAAATAATTATACACCACAGCCTCCAAACCCCGAACACACTATTTTACAAAAAACTGGCCATGAACGCCTACTCTCCTTTACATGAATTCCACAAAGGATGGAAGCTTTTGCTAATTCGACTAATTAGTAAGATGGTGAATGAAAATAGTATCAGAAATCAACAATGCCCCCAAAAATACTGATCATGTATATACTAAATATTACACTTACTTATATGAGCAGTTAACATGGAGACAACTGGAATATATTCAGTATAAATAATATCTATATTTTGTACTTTAGATCTGTGCTTCAATTATAAAGTCATCTCGGTAGATATTCTCGAATTAAACTACTTACCAATTAACGTTCCTACTATAATAGACCAGCATTTCTATGTCTGATTGACCTAAAGAAAGCGTTTGACCGAGTAAGATTCAAATATGTAATCTATCTTCTGTACAATAGAGAAGTTTCCCTAAATATTATAAAAACTATGGAAAACATTTACCAAAACAACAAAATGGAAGTCAAAATAAATGGACAACTTACAGAACCTATAGAAATAGGTAGACAGCATGGTCCATTGAGCCCCATGCTCTTCAATTTGATCATGGTTCAAATCATGCTTCAAAAAGCAAATAGACTGACAGGATACCTTAGTAACATTATATAGCGAAACATACACATTAACACAGAGATTAAGTCAAGAATTTAGAACGCTAGTGTAGACCAATAATGACATATGCTTCCGAAACAAGACCCGACACAGCCACAACGCCAAGGCTACTGGAAACGACGGAGATGAGGAGAACCGTGTCGTCTAAATAGCATTGACTAATTCGTGACCCTCCAAATATAAAACTTGGCTGGACCCTGGTAAGCGACTCAACTGCCCCTATGAGTCCGACACCAAATGAAGGTGGCACGATGCCGAAACATCGTGGGGCTCTATCTCCTTCCCGGGGCGGAAAGATGACGCAGGCGAAGGAATTCCACCTCTCACGTAGACAGGTCACTGCCGAGGATCACTCCTCTACCACTCTTAAATCATCCAGGTGGGTACGTGCCGAGACATCGATACCACTCTCGGTAGTGTAAGGCCGTGAGAGGTATATACGGGCTCAGCTCGTTCAACCTCACCTGGCTCTTGTGGAATGAGAGTAAAGTGGTTCCACGGATACTAGGAGTGTAAACCCCCAAGCATCCCGAGTGCGTTTCTACAAACCCGACACCTCAAACGACGGCTCCCCACCTCTCATTACCTTCCCATTAGTCGCCTCTTACGACAGGCAGGGTCTTCTGACATCGGCCGTCTAAATAGCAAGAGATAAGTCACCAATCGGTAGAAGTATCGGACGACCGCGCAAGAGATGGAGTGACAACCTTCCATAGAGGTATTAATCCGCCAATGAACAAGCAGAATTGCTTATAAAGTGGAAGAAAAAGACCAATTAACGTTGCTCCTTTTTGTTAAGTTAAATATTCAATTCCACTTGATCGGAATTAACTGCACAATCAATATCTAACCCAAAAACGACTATAATTGTAATCTTCAGCTAAACGTCAGGAAACTTAAGAAGATAGAATCTCGTTAAAAGTTTAGTCAGCTATAACATACGCTACAACAGAAAAACAATAAGAACATTAGAAGAGACAGAAATAGACTAAGAGGGATTAACAGGAACTTAAATAGATAGGGTACGAAAATACGATAGACGAGTATTATCGTAAGTAATTAAATGCAGAAGACTATTATATGCAGACATAGTCAAGCCGCCATGGGGGCACTCATAAGCCCCAAGATGAAGTCTAGGCTAGTGTAGGAATGCCGAGAACTCAACAGACTGGGGGAACAGAACAGTGTTACACTGGCATAGATTCAAGGTCACCGAGAATATACGGCAATAAAAGAACTGATGCACTTGCCAGAAGAGCATCAGCTACAAAATACTTTGGTCGAGAGCCGGCCCTGCGTAGGCTAAAAAGCATCGTCCGCAGCCGCAAAAAAGCCTGCATCCAAAGGCAACATACCTCACACCAGGAAAAGATA